GCCACGAACGGTTATCGAGGAAGTTGCCTTAAAACTGCCATCACGTTTCCTATTTTGCCAACCGTTGAAATAATTTCTGAAAAAATTCAAAATCCTTCCAATGGCTTTTTAAGTAATTTTCACTTCCAAATACTTGAAAATAAAAATTAGGGGCAATTGTTGGGCCCGTATTATCACACCACCCATTACATCTAGGGCATCAATCCAAGGCCAATAAGTCAGCAAGAATATACAAAACGGCTTGATTAAAATAAACAAGGAAAGCAGCATCAAGCATATCAATCAAGGAGATACTTGCCAAAGATACACCTACAGAGCAGGAAACAAGATAAATCAAGAAGATCTTATGCATTTCAAGGATATTCTGAATATATTTGTAAACCCTAGAGATCCCTAGATATAAATAAGAAGAATTAGACATTTGAACGATCATGTACGTTCGCATATACATAAATATAAACAATTTGCTCTACTTTTATCTACGGAATTGCGTCCCTACTGAACAAGGAGGCCTATTCTTGCTCAGTATTGCATCTCTAAACTCATCTTCTTTATATAATTGAATATTTACTGCTTGTTTATTGATTACTTGTTGATTTATTATCATTCTTAGTTATTTTATATGCTATTGGTAGAAGGATTGTTATTACCCCTCAAACCTAGCAAATTCTTGAATGTCCTTATTGAGATTTGCCTAAACACCCACCATCGCTGCACCTCCACCCGCACCACCGCCGCACCCCCAGCCGCAACACCGAGCCACGCTCCTCTCTCCTCGACCCACCACGGCAATTTAATTGTAGGGTTACATCATAGACACTAAAGGTACCTTGGGGGTACAACGTGAAATTTTGAAAATGGGTGGGCACAGCTTGGAAAATTCAATACCTCAGGGGCATTGTATAGAAAAACCATATTTTAAAAAAGTTTCAAATGTCTCATTAGGCTGTCAAATAATATCATTAAAGCTAAGTGGTACAAAATACACTCCCAATGGTACTCAATGCAGTTTTAGTGGTACTTATAAAAATTATCAGTGGTACAAAATATACTCTCAGTAATTGTGGTCCCAATTTTTTTTTTGTCCTTTTTGCACGTGAAACCATTTCTAACGAAAAGGTAGACCTTACCTCACCTTTTTCACTCTCTCTATCTCTCTCTTCTTTTCTCCCTCTTCCTAATACATTTGCTATATTATTTTATGTTGTGAGACATTTTATTTTGTCTCACAACCCTACAAATATACTTCCTCTAGAAGAAAGGAGAAAATCCTCGTTCATAAGCCATATAAACAAGCTGTGTTTATAAGAGGGTATGCACGTCAATTTACCACTTATAGTAAGGGTAAAGTTGTCAAAATGAAATATGACTGTTAACTTTAGACTAGCGGCATTAGTCTTAGCAATTTAAACGTTCGTTTTTGAATTGTTACATCCCGTTGCTCACCCCTTCCAACTTCAGTAAAATTTCCCCAGTTAGCTTCTGCAACTAAGGGAAGTCGTTGAGGACTTTGTCTGAAATTTAATGGGCTTTACACATTGATGTACTCAGATGATAAATTGTTGAGGAGGTGGTGGTGGCGACGTCGACTTGGCGGCGACTAAAATCCCGGTAAATTATTGCATTTACCTTTTTCTTCACTGAATTCCAATTACAACCATGTTCAATTCAAGCAATAAAAAACATATTAACACCCCGAGCAACTGTTTTTCTCGATTAAGTACAACAACATTCAATAAAAACAACCTGAATTTACCCACACATTAACCCATTACATGCATATCTTTAGCAATTGCAACAAACGACATCACCAATGTCACAAATTAAACCAATTAAACTGATTTGAAAAAACTAGGGTTTTTCGTAAATGAATATTTACCAATTCAGCTCTACCACTTTCATATTACGCTCCCAACATCAATTCGGAATATGCTTATCTCCAAGCCTGAACAAAAATAGAGTGCAGAAGTAGAGAAGAACGATGACTGCTTGATGATTGTGTTCTTCAGATGGCGGGTGAGGCAGAGCTTTAGATTTCCAAACAGAAGACAAAATGGGATTGGAATTGGAGAACCGTTTAGCATGCTCTAATGGCTAAGTTATTCCCCCAGTTAACTGCATGTCAACATAAATGCACTAAATCAATAAAATATTCACAGAACCTCAAATATTTTAGAAAATGCCATCATATGAACTGTTTTCGTTTATATGACTTATGAACTGGGGGAAGCTCGGGAGAAAGCAACACCAGATTACTAGATTAGTCATACCCATTTTCCATTCACTCAACGCCCTAATTTTGTACCCTTATTTTTTTCTTTTGGGTACGATACCCTTGTAAAGTTGTAATTAAAAGTGTTAATTCGGCTAGTTGAGTCAAATTTGATTAGGTCGGGGGTTAGATTTTGGGTCTATTTTAAATTTGAGTGATGATTAATTTGATTTGGATTAGTCGAGTCAACTTTTAACACATTGATTTACTTATAATTGTAGAATTATTGAAATTGTTAAGTAGCGGTAGTTTAGGTTTGTTTAGAGCTTGCCATAGGCCAACATGTACTGCTATACTAGCTCACGTGTCATGCTAGAGGATCATGCCTGCAACATAATACAAAAAAGTTATACTTGGTAATTGGTAATTTGGTATCATGTTAGACTTGTGCATATCTTTCATAAACAAAATTCATGTGTCCTGTTATGCCATTGAATCCCCTTAACATTTTTTTGAAATGAAGTATAAATAAATGTAAGTCAAGAAGTAGACTCGTCTTTTACCAACTTGTGCCAAAATTTGAACATATTGTTTAGTCTTATGCCCATGGCATATTGGCATGCCTTTATATCGGGCTCGTGTGTCTGTGTCAAGTTAGACCATATCCATGCCAATCAACCCATGCTTAATTTATTATAGATATATACGGAGTACTACAGTATGAAGTACTTCGTATTACTACGTATTATTTTTTTAATCAATCATAAAGGTTATGTAATGAACTAATGATTATTATGCAAGCTTTAAGCGCAGCAGTTGACGATCATGAATAATTAATGATAATGACACACTAATACTCCCTATAGCAGTGCTGCTTGGGGTTTAGATAATCAGGTAATCAGCACTGTTCAAGTGTTATTTATGTGTTCGCCCACGATTAATGTCTATAACTTCATAATTACAGTTCAAGACAATTAACCAGGGTAGATAGAAGTGTCACTGGGAGCACGTCAACACATGGTATAAATAAGAAGCATTCCTTTTCCTACCGGCTTATACACCTTATAGTTCAGTAGGCAAAGTGTAATGGACACAGTAGAAATACATGCTGCACATAAGTAAGAATGCTTGAGCTACTAACAGTAGAAATACATATTCAGTGTGCGCGAAGGCACTACATTGAGGTCAAATTAAGATGGATCAACTTGCTCGCATCGATCTTATGTAACATTCTCGTTACAACAGACAACGATAGGTCAATTTTCTTGAATGAATGCCAAGGGAGGCAAGAGTGGGAAGGAAGACCCCTCAGGCTATGTTTGCTTTTGAGGCTACACATAATTAATATTGTATGGTTACATATCACAGTAACAAATTTAATAATATTGTACATTCTTATATTGTATAATAAAAGTCGGTAAAGAAAATTATTCTATAAAATCAGCACATCTCACATGTCAATTCATTTTACCATCGTTATCATATTCATTGGGACATTGGGACGTGGGAGTGTGAAAAACGGATTGTATTTGTATACCTGCCAGCAAAGCAAGACCCTATTGATATTTGATAAGAAAACCTTAATATCAAGAAACTAAGCGTTGTTTAGTTTCCATATTTTATTTGTGGTATATCAATCCATAAATAGCAAACATATCCTCAATCAGATACACTTGACAAATATCACTTGTAGATAGGAAGTCGACACTACTAATAGGCAACTACCAAAGTCCAGAGAGAAACATCCAACCACCATATTCTTTACTTGTGTGGCATTCCTTTGCTCTGTCCCCAATCCCCATACCCCCTCTATAATTATATCCTATCCTTCTCTATCTTTCATCTTCTGCATCCAATCCATTTTCCTAAATCAAATTTTACAGATGGGACTTAAGATATAGACATACAAAGGGAGAACAACGACACCTTAACACGTAGTCACAAAAAAAAAAAAAAAAAAAAAAAAAAAAAGACTAAACTTTTAGATGTATGCCTAAATGCTTGGGTGTCCATTATACAACTTAAAGCACTAAGCTCACGGAAGATTCACACTATTTACTTGTTCATTTGCTCAATGGAGTCCTCCATTGCCTTATGTGTCCGTTCATGTAGACAGATTAATTAGTTACCTGAGTCCTTACAAATTTGTATAGGTTATTTCCATCCACCACTGCTAATTGGAATAGTCACCAGATTGTATTAACCATGATCTATCCAAATCGACCTGATATATGGATTACCAAGGTCCGACCCAATAAAAGCCAACATTAACCCGACTTCCATGGTGGGTGGGCCACATGCCAATTTTGGCCCAAGACGCTATGAAACCAGCCATGAACTCAACCCAACCCAATCTGTGAATAGTCATAAACATACTTCCCAAATACACATTCTTTCAAACATACAAGGGAAAGGCCCAAAACTGATTTTCAAATGGTGAACCACTCAACCCTTACCAAGCTAATTTGGCTCCAACCAACTTGTGAATAGCCTATATCCCCAACCTACCCTAGTCAAGCTAAACCAGCCTGACCGAACCAGAAAGGGTCTAGTAATTGGAACTTAATGAATCTAATCAGTCAAAACTTATTTAAAATGAACTTTTAAAAGTTGAAGCAAATACACCCCTTGAAAGCTCTAATATCTTGCTTGGGGTGCTAATCCAAAAGCAAAATTCATTCTAGCTCGTATGTGCCTAAAGAAGAAATAATCATAGTAATAAAATGAAGAGCGGATTTAGTTGGCTTTAAAGAAGAAATAAAGGTCGAAAGATATCAGCACATTGAAGTAGACAATTAGGACCCAGATTAATCCAAATGCTAATTGAGCAATCAAGAGTTAGTCAATACTCCATCACAGTGTCACCAATTTATTTTCCAAATATCAAGGAAAAGTAGAAGGGTTAAAGCAAATGACCTGGTTAAATACAACAGAGAAATAATCCATACTTTCAGGCTAAATAATATTGTGGCTTACCGCACAATTTTGGTAAACCTAGTTTGATAGAGTTCCAATAGCAAGACTAACAACTGGGACATGGATTGACATGATAACATGGAAGAAAGTGGCTTCATGGGTTGGGAGGAGCAGGTCCACTGGTTGCTGAAATGTAATATAGTTACGGTCCCAATAGTTGTAGCAAGTCGGACACCTTGTCTGTGTAGTAATCTGGCACGATGTTGTTTGCTGAGTCCTGAAGAGCAGGCAGTGACGTCACACCTGCAGTAAAAGTGCCATAAGAAATGACCACAAATGTAAAATTCGTTTGTTCTACAATTTTTATATGATACAATATTTGCAATCAAAACAAGTAGTTGTTATACCGGAGAGAACAAGGAGTGTTTTGCAGCCAGCACTCTGTCCAAATAGAATATCAGTATCCAATCTATCACCCACCATACACATTCTGGAGGTGTCGACATTGAATCTGGATACAAAACGCAGCATTCAAATAATCTAATATACATATTGCAATGCTACCAGCAGTACTACTAAGCCGCACTAGGCTGTTCATGATTCAGGACAACATGAAAGGGGCTGGAGGTCATGTGTTCAATCTTCATTATGCAGAACTATTGCATTTAATAAAAAAAAGTACTTACTTCTTTAGCAAGAAGTCCATCATGAATGTTGATGGCTTTCCGACCACAACAGGCTCTTTCTGAGTTGTGCCACAGACAGCAGCAACCATACATCCAGCACCTGCAACCCAAAATTGAGGAAGAATAAAAGATCAGATGTCATATTATATAATTAGTCTGTATAAAATTATTTCTTGTGGAAATTTAAAGAGACATAGAAAGGAAAGAAGAAAACCGGGCCATTCTTGTAAATCAGTCATATGTCCCACAGCATCACGATTGGTAGCAATAAATAGGCATCCGGGATTCTCACGAATGCAAAGAGTTGCATACCTGTCAATTAACAGAAAAAACAAAGGAGATCAGGGAATACATCTCAAGCAGAGTAGCTCAAATATAAGGTAAGAAAAAAGCAAGCAGTGAACTTGGCAAATTTTGATATAATTGAACTTTTATTTGTTACCGAGTATGAGGAGATGCTTTAAATGTCAAATAAGCCTTCAGATAAAAAAAAAAAAAAAAAAAAAAAAAAACAGTAAATATCGCCCATTGCAGGAGTAGACTAATTAAAATTAACAGCAAGCAGGTTGTGAGACAAATAGCAAGATCTGCTTGAGTCAACATCCAACAATAGGTATCTACTGCAGGTGCTGTAATTTGCAATTAGATCAAACCAGGGTGTCTAACAGAACAGCTCGTGTAGAAGTAATATTACCAGATGGTAAATTATTGTGTAAAAAAAATGAGTTGATGGTCCTATACAGACTGTAAATCAAGGGAGTAAGTGAAGAAGTGATCAAAGTAGATTAGTAAGTGATCATAAAAGCAAGTAACTAATTCATAAAACAGAAAGGCATTGTATAAATGCATAATAAAGAGCAAAAACAAGGCATAGAAAAATTACTGGAGCTTGTAAAAGTTAATATACTGATCCAATCCAACCACAACAGCTCCAACCTGAAAAGCAAATCAATGCAAAGCACAAAAACTAAATAAAAAGAGAATTGAAGGTGTTTGAAATAGCAATAAAAAAAAATAAAAAAAAATAAAAAAAATAAAAAAAAAAGTGGCAAAATGAAGTTAAATTACAGTCTTGTCATGGTGAAAAAACGGATTTTGTTTGAGTTCAATTTTCTTATTGGCATCATCCTGTGACAAGATCAATGTACAATCCATAAGTATAATCCATAAATATACGTATGCGAATTGCAAGGCGAATAGAAAAATAGAATTCATACAGGGCCACCAAGGGATGTAAAGCCAGCAAGGTGTAGCTCCTCTACAATGCCTTCTCCACCAATAACATAAACCTGATAATTATGATAATAATTTACTTAATAGATATACAATAATAGAAATCCGAAACAAAATTATATTTGCTGAACTTCATAACACAACCGTATAACAATAGTGTAATAGGGTGTGACCTTTTTATCCGGAGAAAATTGTATGGATTTCAAGTACATAGCAGCTGCGAATGAGGAGCTGAATATCTCATCCTGCCCAAATAATAATTACAATACTCGTATTAATTTGAAGGGTTGTAATTCAAAATCCGAATAAGTAAAAAAAAAGTTACTCGTATTAAATAAAATTTTTTTAAAAAAAAAAAAAAAAAAAAAGGAAGAAATACCTGAGAAACAGAAATGCCCAAAGAAAGGAATTTAGAGGCATATTGAGCTCTTGATTTGGTGGAATTGTTAGTCACAAAAACCAGCGCCTTTCCCTGCCATTAATGAAATCTCAGATTCTTAATTGTGTCATGTGTCAAATTATTCAAGAATCGAATAAGAAATTTTATTAAAAAAATATATACCTGAGACCTGAGAAATTGAAGCGTCTCAGAAACGCCATCAATGAGCTTGTCACCTTTCCATATTACACCTGCCAAACACAAACGCGATAATTAAAACTGTTAAATAAAAAAAAAAAAAAAAGTGTAAGTAATGAAAGGCATACCATCGCAGTCAAATAGGAATGCGTCCACCGAGTTTAAAAGACTTGCGCCATTTTCCCCATTCAGAACCTCTGTGCTGCTGCTCCCCATTTCTTGCTCTTTCTTTTCAGATTTATTTTTATCTTTCATCCACCTTTTTATCCTTTATTTATTCTCAAATAAATTTTGTGATTATAATCTCTCAATTATGCGCTCATTTTTTTTCTTTTTTCTTTTTTCTTTTATTTTTTGCAGCCTCGGTTTCTCAATTTTTAGGGGAATGATTTCCCTAAACAAAAACTTTTATGTACCCCGGTTGACAATTAAATATTGTAAATCCGCGGCGCATTACAGGAAGTGCATGGATCGTGCATCCGCTCGGATGCACGATCCACATGGTGCATCTGTTCTAAAAAAAAGCGGAAAGAACATTGCATTTTTTTTTTTAAAAAAGCAAAAATATTTCATTAATTAAAAGTCATACGACATCTACAATAAATATTCGACGTTAACAAATACATAAGATATTGAATCAAATAGAATATTCCTTCATAAAAATTACGATCGTCGAATAGATCTTGCACTGCGGAGCATCTCCCGCTTATATCGCTGAAAATTACAGCCTTGTTGGAGAGACAATCTAATGATCCTTTGTAGCCGTGAGGATGTTTTCCTTCTGATTCATCTGTTTGTATTCGAAAACTTGATAACTTTTTCACCAACGAAATAATTTCACGACAATCCAGCAGATCTGCTACCATGTATTCAAAACTAAGAAATTTCTCCCTCGAAAAGAGGAGATAAACCTTGTCTTTCGAAGGAGGTCGAAAACCCTTGTCTTTCAAAAGAGATCGGAAACCCTTTGTTTCGAGGGAGAAAAATTCCTCCCAAAAGGAGGAAGTATTATTATAAACCTAAAAAAACAATAAAGAAACAAGGATTGGGGCTTTCCACCGATTAAAATCGATGGAAGCCCCTTCAAATTTCAACTGGAGGCTAGGGTTTTTGAGAGAAAAAGGAGGCCGGAAAGAACATTGCATAGAAATATAAAGAACATTTAATTTAAGTGAGAATAATATATTATAGAATTGTAAATAATATTGTATAGAAATGTAAAGAACATTCAGTTAAATTGCAAAGAACATATTATAAAATTGTAATGAACATAAAGTGCAGTTAAATAATGTTTTTTTATCTTCATGTTCTTTGATTATCAGAATAATGTACTTTTATTTGTGACATATGTTAATTGTTTATTTTGAAATATTATTTGAATTTTGACTTTAGATTATGGTGGTTGAATAAAAATAATGTTCATTACAATATATTATCATTAGAGGTGATAAAAAATTCGAGTCGGGCTGGGCCTTAACAAAATATCTCGTGTCAAACCGGGAAAATGTAGTGGGCTTTTTGGGTTTTTTCAGGCGAGTTTGGATTTTTTTTTAATTAAAAATGCATTTTTAGGCTTGTCTAAACCCGCCCTATTTTCGGGCTGGATTGGGTCGGGTCGGGCCAAAGTTGATCACCTCTAATTATCATGTTTTTAATTAATATTACGGATGTTCTTTAGATATACATATAAAGAACATGAAGCTGGATGTTTTTTTTTTACAAAATAGGTATATGTTCTTTATAAAACAACTATATGTTCATTACATTACAGCTATATGTGATGTTCTTTATGAAATAGCTATATCTTCTTTACAAAATCTAATATATATATATATATATATATATATATATATATATATATATATATATATAAAGGGGAGTTTTTCCCCGAGTTTTTAGAGAGTCACGTAGGATTTAATTTTCTTAGCACGCCATGTAGGATTATAAATTTAAGTTGTAGCCAATTAAATAAGAAATTATTAATTTCTTTTACAATTAAATAATTTAAATGCCACGTAAGCAAAATTGACGAATGAGATTTTAAAGTTTAAATTAATTAAATACGAAATATTATCTTTAGAGATTAGGAATTTTATCTAATATTTTAAAACTTATATAATAACAATTTAATCACATAAATATGAAAATATTTTTTTTAAAAAATACTAATAAACCATGCATCGTATGGGCTTCATCTAGTAAATGTATGTTCTTTACTGAACAACAGAATGTTCATTCCGCGTTTCTAAAGAGAAAACGGATGCACGGAGCATCGTGCATTCGCCTCCATAGAAAAAATTTCACATTACAAGTGCCAGTATGGAATCTCAAAGGGCTCTACTCCCTCCTCTTTACATATGGAATAATGGAATCCATGCCCACCTCCCCTCCTAATATTCACAATCACTATTAAGTTCATTCCAACATTAAAACCAAACAAGTTTAGTATAATATGGGTTTTAGAATTCATAATTCTCTATTAAGGCTCCGTTCACTCCACCTTATTTTTGTTGAAGTGAAATTATTTTTAATGAAAAAAATTATATTTGCTGAACTATAATTATTTTACTGAACTTAAATTAATTTTACTGAATTGAAATTATTTTTGCTGAAATGAAATTATTTTTACTGATATTCTATTATAATTCTTCTTTGAAAAAACTGAATTTTACTGAACTGAACTTATTTTTACTGAATTGAAATTATTTTTACTGAATTAAAATTAAATTTACTGAACTAAACTTTTTTTTACTGAACTGAAAGTAATTTTACTTAATATTTTTAAGGTGAAGTGAATAGGGCCTAAGAGATTTCATACCAAATCATTCCAATATAATGAACCAAACACCCCCTTAATGTTTGGGGGTGGTATATTTTAATTTCGTAAAAAAAAAATGGTGAATTCAACAAGTGATATATTTGATTATTTGGGATTTTGGGGTGTTTTTTAGAAAAAAAAAAATATTAAAAAAAATCTTTTTTTTTTTCATTTTTTTTTGAAGGTTTCACTTTGGTTCAAACAACAAACTCTAGTAATCTTCCATAGTAAAGTTAAATACAAGGTACTAATGTTTGACAAAAGTTGCAATTAGAGTATTGAAGTTTTAGAAATTGCAACTAAGGTACTCAAATCTTGGTTGTACATAAAAATTCTAGTGGTGACCTACACCAATAGGTTAACTCATATTTTTTGCTTAAAAAAAAAATAAAAATAAATGCTGAGTTAATGCCTCGAAAAAGAAAAAGGCATCATTTTCCTATTAATAATGGCACAATTAATTAATAGTAATTAACAATTCAAAACCACCACCCCCAGACCAAACCACCTCCCCAGACCACCATCGGCTCAAGCTGGCCGTCAACACCGCCGCACCCAAACTGTAGTTCCCTCGTGCCTTTCGTCGTCTCTCCCATACCCTCTTTCAATCACCTCTGAACCACCACAACCCTTATCGAAATCAAGGCATATATGAAGGGGAAGGGGGCCGAATCAAGGCGTGGGAAGGGAAAAAGTACACCATTGCAACCACTTTTAAATTTCCTTCATCCTCCCCTTCCTACTCCCCCCCCCCCAACCAGCACCACCATATCCAAAATTTCTCGCTGGAAGAGGACAATTATACACGTGATAACATGGAGAAGCGGACCTTCCGGAAACCTGAAAAATAAATGGGTATCTCAATGTTATCAACACAAATAAGGATGAATTGATAACTCCGTATAATTGATGAGGATGAGTAGAGAAACTTCAACAAGCATAATCATGAGAAACGCTAGAAGAAAAAGAAGATCAGAATTCGTACTCTAGGGTAGTTAGGGTTCAAGATCTGAATTCAAAATCCCCTTCCTGATAGTTAGGGTTATGCATATCAAGGGGATGGATATGGCGGTTAGAGCAGCAAGGCGTGGCGCTCCGATGTTGTGGGGCCGGTAGGCGATCAGGCTGATGAAAGTGAGCTATCGTGATAGGTGGTTAGGGCCTGTTCTGATTTATCGAACTGAACAACACTGATTGGAGCTAAATTGAATTAAACTGAACATCCCAGGAATGCAGCTTGTTGATATATATAATATATTAAATCCTTTTTTAAGCAATCACGAGGGGTATTACATAATTTCTCTACCAAGTGTAGTCCCAATCAAGGCACTGTAGAATTTATCAATACTAGGTTAGGTCCCATGCAATGCACGTTTATTATTACTCCATATTATTTATTACCGAATAATGTTATATTTAATTGTTAGAATATAATATATAAATTTTCTCAATTTATCATTGACAAAAACAAAGTATTCGACATAATGAAACATGGAATATTATGCTTAATTGACATTCTAATGTTTCAACCATATAAGAAAATCCATAGTAGCTAAATATATAAAGATAATAAAGATTAAAATAATTTTAAATAATGTTTTTAATGCTTCTATATATATATATATATATATATATATATATATATATATATATATATAGTAAATATCATTGATATATCATTGATAATACGTGTCATTATTGGTGTTTTTTTTAGTATATGGTTATTGATGGATTGATGCTGAAAATCACCTAACATTAGTTTTTTTTTTATTATTTTTTTTTTAAAAAATGGTAGTGGGTGAATTTTGGATTGAATACAGACGTGTTCTAATTAATTGAACTGAGTTGAACTGAACTAAGGCCCTGTTCTATTCACCTTTAAAAAATAATATTAAGTAAAAATAATTTCAGTTCAGTAAAAATAAGTTTGGTTAAGTAAATTTTTTTTTTTTTTTTGAGGAAAGTAAAATTAATTTCAGTTCAGTAAAAATAAGTTCAGTTCAGTAAAATTCAGTTTTCTTAAAGAAGAATTATAATAGAAAATCAGCAAAAATAATTTCAGTTCAGTAAAATTAATTTAAGTTCAGTAAAAATAAATTTAAGTTCAGCAAAAATAATTTCAGTTCAGCAAAAATAATTTCAGTTCAGTCAAAATAATTTTAATTCAGCAAAATTAAAGTGAAGAGAACATGGCCTAAATATGAGAAAAGGAAATTAAAAACTGAATTGAGAGAGAGAACCTACCTTATTAACATTTGAAACTTTACTACTCGTACTTGTTTTTGTATTTACACTATTCTTCTGACTTTATATTTCACCTAGCTGATCTGCTAATTCAATTTTCAACCTTTGTGCAATTATATCTAAAATGGAGGGAGAAAAAGATGAGAGAGAAAGATTTAAGCAAGTATATCAACTACTCAAGACGGAATTGCTAAAAGATCCTGCTTTTGAGTATGACCATGTCTCCCGTCAATGGCTTCATCAGGTCATTGTTTTCTTGTAATTCTATTTATCAATATTTAACGTTTGTCTTCTTCTTAATTAATTAACGCTTTCTCATTCTTCAAACAGATGCTGGATTATAATGTTCCTGGAGGTACAATTTTTCCATTTTTCAACGGGATTCTGTGGTTTTGTTTTCAGTCGTATTATAATTTCTGATCTCTAATTTTATTTATTTTTTCTAATGAATTTTTGATTCAGGAAAATTGAATCGGGGGATGTCTCTGATTAAAACCTATGAATTGTTAAATGACGGGAAACAAATCCCAGAAGATGGCCGTTTCCGTGCTTCTGTTCTTGGCTGGTGCATTCAATGGGTATGCCATTCTTTTTTATTCATCCATTTCTATACGAATCCGTTCGGTATCACTGTAGAATTGAAAATTAGTCAAACTTATGGAATTGACATTTGACTGTACTTCAGAGTTCAGAAAACTGAAAACAAAAAAATAACACCGAAACAAGGCACTTTAATTGTCACTGTAAACCATAAAAAAAATTCAAACTTGCAATATATAAATAAAGAGGTAGAAAATATATGTAAACAATTATTTCATTGATAATTTGTGGATTACAACTCTTGTAGATCTCTTGATTCCTCTCTCCAAAGGGTTAGGGTTTGATATTTGTTTATAGTACGGGGCCTTGAGACCTTTTATATAGAGTGTCGCAGAGCAAAAGATATTCATCTATGAGATTCTAAAGATAAATATCTTATAATTTTTGATATTATCTCCTTATTTACATACATATATTGACACCTAATAATTAACAAAATTTCGGTGTCAACAAATGCCCTCTCGAGACTCGTTGCGGAGATTTGATGTCGGATGCAACTTGATCTCAAAATTTTTCTTTTGTAGAATTTGAAAGCAAATTTGACATGCCCCCATTATTTCTACGAGTTTTGAGACTTGAAGATTGGAGATGAAGAGCGAAAATTGTCCCACCGAGCGTGCCAACTTGTAAACACAAATTTCGAGTCTAAATAAATGAAGACGGGAAATAAAGTAACAAATGTATTTATATTAATATGTGATTTTTGGGTACAATCTCTGTATAAAAGTTTATAATAAAATAAACTAATTCCTCTGATTAGCTTGATGATGACACGTGTGTGACACCTGAAGGTTGACGTTTGATGACGTCGACTTGAGTTTGAATGTAGGGTGACGTTTGATGATGTCAACCTGTATTTAAGGGTTTTGTTTGAATACACCTAAACGAGGGCTTTGGAGCTTATTCCCGTTCAGATATGTTTGAGTGTGTCTGAACAAGTCGGCACGAGTTTGATATGCTTGTTGACTTACTTCAGAGGGAATTCCGTTTGAGTTTTATGAGCTCTTGGAATAATGATGGAGGAACGGTGTATTTATAGGAGATGAGACCCCTTGAGTGGACTTAGTAGGTCTGGCCCATTTTATGACTTAAAAGTCTTTTAACCTAGTCTGTTTAATTTATTTTATAACCCGAATTTTATTTAATTAATTCAGATTATTTATTTAGGTGGGCCAAAATTAATTAAAATGGATCATTCATATGATTTTAACCCAAATTAATTTATTTAATTTAATGTATGACACTCATAAAATTTCCGTGTCTACAGTCACATTTCTGATTTCTTTATTTCAGAGTACCTCTGCTACAAACAATTCGACTTATTTTAAGCTTTAACATCACTAGACACCTTTTTTCTTCATTATTGTAAAACTTTTGCATAAATATGTTTTTTTTTTTTTTTTTTTTTTTGGTGTTCTACCCAGTTCACCCTCTAGGCTAATCCGGATTCGGGGATCAGTTGCTTATATGACTTTTGAGTATGTTAAATGTGATAGTCCTTTTCATGTTTGTATTATTGCAGCTGGTGGGCTGTGTTCTTGTTCTTGATGATATTTTGGATAATTCCCACACCAGGCGTGGCCGTCCTTGTTGGTTTAGATTACCTAAGGTTTTTTTTTTTTTGCTGTAATTCAATAGCGTTGCTTTTTTTTTTTTTTTTTTTTTTAATTCCTTTTGTTAAGGCAAGTGTTTATGTTTTAAATTTGTTGGCAGGTTGGCATGATCGCTGTGAATGATGGCATTCTTCTTTGGAATCATATTAACAGGATTCTTAGGACATACTTTAGGGACCAACCTTACTATGCAGATCTCCTTGATTTATTCAGTGAGGTCAATGTCTATTATTGTCTTCGTTTTATAAAAATTGTTATATACACCCCTGGTGCACTGTGCCCCAACTAATTCCACGGCTAGTTTTTGCTCTTCATTTGATGATTAAATGAATAACAATCATCAAATGAGAACAAATTTGAAAATACTCATGGGTGCACCGTACACCCAGGCGTATATAACACTCTCTCAAAGATTATGCGTGCAGTGACATAAATACATGATTAGCATATACGGAGTATGAATAGTCTTTTTCTTTCTTTTTATTGCATCTTCTTTCATAGGTAGAGTTCCAAACAACTTGTGGAGAAATGATTGATCTGCTAATTACACTCGAGGGGGAGAAAGATTTGTCAAAATTCACTCCAGCATTGTGAGTAAAAATCACTTCAATCTCAATCTTGATAATCTCAAAGTATTTACTGGTGCAATAGTAATTATCATTTATCAAAGTTGTCCGTTGTTATCTTTTACTGCCAAAGTGCCAATGAAGATTGTTCTGAATCTAGTGAAGTAACCTTTGTGAGCTAAGGAGAGGCACATTACATTCAAAAGTGATGCCAGTAAAGATCCAACCAAGCAGTACCCCCTTTTATAATTAATATCTGTATACCGTTGATAGATTAATCTTACAGTGATAATTCGTGTGAGTCATGGCACTCATGATGCTTCTGGTTGAATCTAATTATATATTCTTTGATGTTATTAATTTTTTCCAGCTTCATGTTCATGTTAATTTTGTTTTCACCATCATGTAAATTTGCTTTAGATTTCCTTGACATGGTAATATCTGCTGCTTGCAGTCAGCGACGTGTCAGCAAGTACAAGACTGCATATGGGACATTTTATCTCCCAGTAAGTATATATGTCTGTCATTCTGTCCTCACTCTATATATTGTAGATTTATTCCTTGGCATTTAGGCTATGTTCTCCTCACCTTATTTTAAGGATAATAAGTTGTGGAATAATTAAAGCTACTCTAGTTCAATTTTCATCTAAAATATCCCCTAACAAGTACAAAAGTTTCGGAATAAATATTCAAGTTCAAGAAAAATAAGCTCAAGTAAGTAAAAAATCAAGTGAAAAACATTCTTAGAGTTGATCATAGTGTTGACTTGGTGTTGCTTGTATTTGTATTCCACTAGCGAATTCTGCAGTGATTTAATGAATAATGAGTTTGATTCATGTGCAATTGTATCATGTGAATATCTTTTGCTCTTCATTTCCATTATTACCCTAATTAGGCTTCTGATTGCACATTGCACTGATTAAGAAGCATGAATTTTTGTTTTGCTTGCCTGATGAGCTGCTTGGAAGCAGTTGAATGCTGCCTAATGTAACTATTGCAAACCTTGATTAAATTTTGGAATCTTTATGTCATTATCGGGAATTATTATAATCCTTCTTGGAAATCCATGTGTACTTGTGCAGCTGAGTCTTCTTGTTTCTTTTTTAATTATTTTCTTCAGCAAATGCAGGACCAGAACCACCTGTTGTTTTATTTTTGTAACGATGTTGCTTTAGTGACCTAGATGACCTATAATTTTATTCAAAATTACTCACTGCACCCATTCTCACCAACTCTATTCTAGATGATGGAAGAATACATGGATTTTGGTAATAATTACTCATCTCTTTGTTTCTGGTAGTATTCTTGGTATTAATTTTTTTTTTCCATGCTACCATCTTTGGATTCAAATTGGGGGACCCTTCTCAATATAATCTTAGTCATTTGAAATTTATGCATATTGTTGCTCATATAGGACCATGCTACTAATCTTGGTTTTCAACTGCTGATAATATGTGAATTTGGTAACCTTAGCCGTATGCATGAACTATAATCTGCATTTCCGACAATGGTATCAGCTTGGGAATTTATGAAAAAAATCATGCAACGCTTGGTGCTATAAATACTTTAGTAAATATATTCTTAGCTTCTCATCCATAGTATTTCTGGACGCATTTGCACTTTCCTGTTTGTATTATGCACACATTGATACTTGACAACATTTTACTTTGTGATTCCTGTGTAGTTTGCATGTGCTTTGCTCATGTTAGGTGAGAAGCTGGATGATTACAATGACGTGAAAGACATCCTTCTTGAGATGGGCATCTACTTCCAAGTACAGGTATCCATACGTGCGAAGCTAGAAGTTAATAAAGATCTTTATTTAGGAATTTGCTGTTCATCGTGATCCTTCTTTTTTTGTTGCTTGGGATAAATTAACCATTGTCAATAAATAACTCTCCTTCAGGGCTTTACCTTAGCTCCCCATTCACAATTTGCTGAAAGTTTATAAAGAAATGATTCAGGCATATTATATATGATCCATAGGTTTTGAATGGAAAGAGTTGTTTGTATGATGCATTCTTTGCTTGGTACTGACATTGAGCTCCTTTATTAAATGAGTAACTTGGAACATTTGATTGGGACTACAGGTGGTTGCTATAATTATGTTATTTGGGAATCTACAATGCTAGTTTGCAAAAGGAATGATTTTTTTCTTCTTTCTTCCGTGATTTGGCAGGATGATTATTTAGACTGCTTTGGTGATCCTGAAATGATTGGCAAGGTGAGTTCGTAAAGTGATAATTATTCTGTGGCTACCAGAAAACTTGTATGATTTGATTCTTATTGCATCAGATTGGATCAGACATTGAAGAATTCAAGTGTTCTTGGTTGGTTGTGAAGGCTTTAGAAGTTTGCAATGAGGAGCAGAAGAAATTGTTATGTGTAATTACACTGTTTCTTTATAAAGTTCTTACAAATGTTTATGCAAATAGTGCTAAAATTAATGCAAACACATCTTGGCTTGATAATGATCAAGGTCTCGTTTTACAGGAAAATTATGGGAAAGCAGACCCAGTGAATGTCGATGCTGTGAAGTCCCTCTATAAAGATATCAATCTTCAGGTATTGAATGATAATATAGGATAGCATGCACAGTCATTGTTTAATCTTTTCCTATCATCTAACTATGTGTGGTGTGAATTGTATTATGGTAGGACATCTTTTCTGAATACGAGATTGATATATATGAGAAGCTAATGGCCAGCATTGAAGCTCTACCGAGCAAAAGCGTGCAAGCAGTGCTGAAGTCTTACTTAGGTAAAATTTTCAAGAGGCAGAAATAGGCAGATGCTGAATTTTGAATATTCAGTCATTTTGGCTCTTAAGTCTCCAGTCCTGCTTTCAGTTGCAGTTCTGTTAGTGACGGGGAGGAGATGGTTAGTCTTAATTGACCGGTCATGCCCTTGCATACCCATCCCAGAAGCTGCATGATGTGATCTATCACGCTGCAAAACTGGAATTAATCTTCATAAGGGGTACATGTTTTGCCAACAAATATTTTTTTGTTTTTTTATACTTGTATTTAAAAAGGAAAGGAAACATCCAAGAGTCTTGTGAAAAAACCCAACACCATAATCAGAGTCATTTTTGAAAAAACCTTATACTTATTTCATACAAAGTATATGTTTAAAATTAGATTGCACATTTTGACTCTCAACACTACTCACATATTCTACTTTGAGTAGCTTTGTGATTTGTTGATTAGAAAAAACATAATCATGGGCAATCTTATTAAAATTTTCTTTATGTTTATTTTCAATATATTGATTTTTTTTTTCATAACTTTTACCTATTGATAATTAGAGACATTTACATTGAATGCTTAAATCTGTACATTAACAAATGTGATAGAGTAAAGGTATCAACTAATTTGGAATGGATAAAGTATGAAACTATCTCCTAAATTTTGGCATTTTAAGAAAGCAATAAGAAGCCAAACATTTTTGGTATTCTTTCTTGACAAATTGCTATGGTGTGGGCATAATTGGTTATCCTCTTAGATAAACTTTTTAATATATGTTAAACGAATGAGTGAATGGTTACTGGGTAAAGTAGAGCATCATCCACATCTAATCAATCTGCTTCATCCGCTTTTCATCAATTTAATTCAGATTTTCGTTTATTAATTTAAAATGGGTGGATTGAGTTAGCGGATATTCATTTAATATTGTCATTCTTATTCACAACTTAGCCCCCAAGCACAAGTGCACAACACAAGTCTTGTGATAGTGATACATTTGTTTCATTGGAGATAAAAGAAATACACCATCTGTTTCATTTTATTTAATTTATTACGTTTTGAAATTTATGTTCTCTAATGCACATGTGTTTACCATGTATTTATTCATTAAAATACGAGTAAATTCCTAAAAAAATGATACAAAATATAGTTTTGATTAAGGTTGGGCAAACGTTATGAGTACATTTGGGAACCAAAATTGGTTAGGTATGCATGGTTCCAGAATTGGATAGGAACGAGTTGAAATCAATTTCAAAAGCAATTCCCCAAATTTTTGGAATTTGAATCGGTTTGGTACCTAGTTACCTAACATATATCATTTAAAATCTCAAGTAACACTGACCGACTAATCCCTACAATAATGATAGAGCAACACTTATAGCGTTGATGAAGGGCATGTTCTCTTACGTTGAAATTCAGTTCAGTTCAGTTCAGCTCAGTTCAGCCCAGCTCCTAATTTCCTTCTCTTATAAAATATTCAATTCAGTTCAGTTCAGTTCAGTCAATAAGAACAGGCCCGAAGTAACATATGTAATCTGACCAAGTAATCCTTATAAAACTATCGAAGTAACCCGTATAATTGATGGCCACATATTAGAATTGTAAAAGCTTAATGCGTTTAAATGTATTAAAAAAAAACTTTAAATAAAAAAATTGTATCATTTTTCAACAATTATATACAAGTACATATTTGGATATCCAAATTGGAACTAGTACTATGCAATTCCAAAATTTTAGTAATAGACTATACTGGTTCCAATTTTAGTTTCGAATTATAGGTTTCTATTAGGGGTGTGTATTCGATTTTCGTTTTGGATTTAAGTCAAATCTAATTCAATTTGAAATAAAATTTAGTTTTTAATTTTTAAATTCAATTCGATCCAATTTTATAATCTAATCCAATACAATCCAAATTTCTAATCCAACCATGTGTGCCCTTGAAATGAATATGGACTATGGGCTTGTTCAATTCAGCTTATTTTCAGTTCGGTTCCTAATTTCCTTCGCTCATAAAATATTCAGTTTAGTTCAGTTCAACTCTAATCAGTTTAGTTTAGTAATTCATAACAGACCCTATATGGTTATAAACTGTAAATAAAATTAATATGGTTATGAACTTAAAATGATGAGGAAAATTTAACAATTACCACTTACAATTGTTGTTGTTTTAGCAATTAATTGTTGGTTTTTTTTTTCTTTTTTTTTTTAAATTTTACCACCAACTATTTTTCAAATATCAAAACTTCCCACCTACTTGACTCTCAACTCAAATGTGACGTCATGTGGGGCTCACTTACTACCTTTTTCCACCCTTTCTTTTTCACTCGATTTCTCATTCCCAAGTATTGCATTCCTCAAAAATAGGGGAAATATTGTGAAACAATTAACATGAATATATAATTTAATTTGAAGTTTTTCCTCGGTTTTGAGAGGATTACATTTTAGGGGAATGGGAAACCGAGTGAAAATGGAAAAAAAGTGAGGGAAAAAGGGTGGGATGGTAGTTAGTGGGCCCCACATAACATCACATTTGAGTTGAGAGTTAAGTAGGTGAGAAGTTTTGATATTTTAAAATATAATTGGTGGTAAAATTCAAAAAAATAAACTATAGGTGTTAATTGCTAAAATGACAACCATTATAGGTGGTAATTGTGGATGATTTTGAAAAATGACTACCATATTATTTTAATAGTATACAATATGATTGGTTTATTTTTTTCACCTTATAAAATGGTCACAATTAGTCTTATTATATCTACTATGCATACATATTTATTGAAAATTTTAATTCAATATATAATAATTTTTTTTTAGAGAAACTATAAAATAAGAATAAAAATTACATAAATGTTGCTAAAAATTTGATAAATCAAAAAAATGTTGATAATACTATTTTATACCTAAAATTAAGTAAAATAATTAATTATCTGGAAAAAAATATCAATTATAAACTTTATAATCATGAAAACATTATGGTAGTCATATTTTAAATTTCAAATGAATACTGTAAAATTTTAGGTAATTGTAAAAAAAAAAGAATCCCAAATGAGATGTGAAAAAGGAGAGAGAGAAAAAAAAAATGTTAAAAGGAAAAGAGGAAAGAAAAGAATGATTGAATGAAGTCAAGAAAAGGGTTGTCATTGTCCTGTCTGCGCGGGGCTTAAAGGTTGAACAAAAACGAAAATGAAGACGACGCTTGTTTTTTTATTCATGAAAAATCTGCGCCCTTTCCTTTTTCTCTCCTTCTTCTTTCTACTTCTACGTAACTTCCCTTTCTCTCTCTGACTTCTTCCTCCATTCCCATTTTCATTTTCAATCTTTGATTTAGGGTTCTTTTTCATCTTTTTCCCTTTCAGTTGATCCCATTTTCAATCTTGTTATTTTGCTGTTTTGTTTTGTAAATTGTATATCAATCAATTGTTATTCCTCCATTTTCTTACCTTCGAAGTTGGATATATATATATATTTTTTTATCATGTCCAACTGTTTCTCGTTTATTCAGTTTCTGGAAAAATTATAATCAATCTTGTGCATATTTTATTATTATTAATTATTGGGGTTTTTTTTTGTACCCATAAATATAGTATATACTTCTTCATTCTCATTGTAACATTCTATATATATAATTTTTTTTGGAAAAGAAATCTTTTGGATAAAGCTTCAGATAAATTAATCAAAAAAGAAAAAAAAATGAAGTTGGTAGTGAAAGTGATAGAAGCAAGAAATATACCAGCAATGGATCTGAATGGGTACAGTGATCCATATGTTAGAATAAATTTGGGAAAGCAAAGGTTCAGAACAAAGGTTGTAAAGAAATGCTTGAATCCTTACTGGGGTGATGAATTCAGCTTTCGTGTTGATGACTTGAGTGATGAATTGGTCATTTCTGTTTTAGATGAAGATAAATATTTCAATGATGATTTTGTTGGTTTTGTTAAATTTCCTGTTTCTAAGGTTTTTGATTCTCCTGATAAATCTCTTCCTACTGCTTGGTACCCTTTACTTCCCAAGAGTAAGAAGTCTAAACCCAAGGACTGTGGTACTCTCTCTATCTCTCCCTTGCTTTCTTTTTTGCTTTCGTTTTCGTTTCTATATTCGATAGCTGTTATTGCTGTTGCTAAAGTACATGATGTATTATTTATGATAATTTGTTAGAGTATTTTCCTGCCTTTTTAGGAGTACAAGTGTACAACTGTAAGGAGTTATGAATGAATGAACTTGATTGGTCTGTTAATGTTCGCGAATTATATGCCTTTAAGGAATGAATGAAATAAGTCTAACAACTTTATACTATAAACGTAATGATAATAATTTAGATATGCTTGCATTTGCTATCCTTAAATGTTTGCGGATATGCGCATCATTGACTTGGGGTATTATTTTTGTGTTTAGGTGAAATCTGTCTGCACATATGTCTTTCTCAAAACTCTTCTTATATGGACCTATCCAACATCACTGCTGCCCCGTCCCAAAGAAATGACAATGTCGATTCTGAATCTTTCAGTACTGCCTCACGTTCATCTTCTCCTTCAAGATTGGAAGCTGCTTCTTCTGCTAACAAAAATGATGAATGTCTGACTAATAAGTTTGAGCCATCTGAAATTTCCAAGCTTCAAGTCAGTGAGGGCAGGTCTGATGACCTCGTTTCTCCGGCCTCTTTTGATGATCTAATGAAAACTATGGAGGGGAAGGACCAGGGAATTGAACTTCCTACCAACTTACCAGGAGGGGTACTTTTAGATCAGCTCTATTTAGCCACCTCTTCTGACCTCAACGCTCTACTTTTTTCACCAGATTCAAAGTTTCCTGTTGCTCTTGCAGAATTCCAAGGGAAGACAGAAATACATTTTGGGCCGTGGGAATTTGAAAATGAAAATTTGGTAAGACTCAACACCTACCTCACGGCGCCATCAAAAATTTCTAAGTCTCTTAAGGCTTTTGAGACTCAAACTTATAAACTAGCCAATGGCAAGTCTTTTGCAATTTTGGTCAGCGTTAGCACTCCTGATGTCATATACGGGAGTACCTTTAGAGTAGAGATGCTCTATTGCATCACACCTGGGCCTGAGTTGCCATCTGGAGAACAATCCTCACGGTTACTTGCCTCATGGGGAATGAATTTTGTTCAGAGCACTATGATGAAGGGAATGATTGAAAATGGAGCCCGGCCAGCAGTGAAGGAGAGTTTCGAGCAGTTTTCAACTCTTTTGTCTCAACATGTCAACCCTGTTGATCTCAAGGGTACTGGATCCCAAAAGGATCAGGTTCTGGCGTCATTGCAAGCAGAACCACAGTCAGATTGGAAGTTGGCAGTTCAATACTTTGCTAATTTTACCGTTGTGTCTACCATTATCATTGGAACTTATGTTCTTTTTCACATTTGCCTAACAGCACCAAGCACCATTCAGGGTCTTGAATTTGTTGGACTGGACTTGCCTGATTCTATTGGTGAAGTTATTGTATGTGGTGTCCTGGTCCTTCAAGTTAAGCGAATGTTTGAGCTGGTAGCGCGCTTCATA